ATCAAAAAGTATATAAGGAATTGAAACAATTCAAAAGTAAGCAAAGAAATAACCCAATTGGGAAAAGACCTGAACAGACATTTCTCAAAAGAAGACATACAAGTGGCCAAGAGGTATATGAAAAAGTGCTCAATATCACTAATGAGAGATGCAAAATGAAGCCACAATGAGACATTATCTCACATCTGTTAGAATGGCTTTTATAAAAAAAGACAAGAGATAAGAGTTGGAGAGGATGTGGAGAAAAAAGAATCCTTGTACCCTAATGGGAAATTGTAAATTGGAAAGCAGTATGGAAGGTTCCCAAAAAACTAAAACGAGAACTACTTTATGATCCAGCAATCAATCCCTCCGTAGGGTATATATCCAAAGGAAATGAAATCAGTATGTCAAGGAGAGGTCTGCACTCCCATATTCATTGCAGTATTATTCGTAGTAGCCAAGACATAGAATCAACCTAAGTGTCTGTCAACAAATGAATAAAGAATGGAATAGTACTCTGCCACACTAAAAAAGAAAGAACCTGGAAGACATGTTAAGTGAAATAATCTAGGCATAGAAAACAAACACTGCGTGATCTTACTTACATGTGGAACTTAGAAAAGTCAAACTCATAGCTGGGAGAGTTGACATGCTCCTGTAACTCCCTGTTACTCAGAAGGCTTAGGCAGAAGGATAATTTGACACAGGAGTTCAAGGCCAGCCTGAGTAGAACAGTGAGACTCCATTTCAAAGAGAGAGTGGGAACAAAAAAAAGGAAAGGAAAAAAGGTTGAACTCATAGGGTTACAAAGTATAATAGTGATGACAGAGGCTAGGGGATGAGGTAGAGGGGTTAGAGAGATGCAAGGAAAAGGCTATAAAATTTTACTTAGAATGAACCAGTTCAAAAGATCTTTCCTGTAATATAGTGACTATAGTTAATACCACTGGATGTCCCATTCTTGAAAAAAATTCTTGAGAGTAAAATTTAAGTGTTTTCTTCACAAGAAAAAAAAAAGGCATATTCTAATTAGCTCAATTTAGCCACTCCACAATGTGTACATAGTTTCAAACAACATTTTGTACATGATAAATACACTTAGTCTTAGTGAATTAAAAGAAAAAATAAAGGATTTGCCCTGTTCTAGGCTAAATACATACAACAAGAGGTTCTCACCTAAAATAGAGAATGAGATATGTATAAATAAATCCCTGAAAACATAAGGATAGTATGTATACCTTGGCCAATGTTCCACATAAAACACAGTCTGAGACAATCCTTATAAGTAAGCACTTTATTACAGACTTTATCCCAAGGCACAGGGTTGATAGATAAGGGTGAGATAAAGTACAGAACAAAAAAAAAGAAAAAAGGAAAAAAAAAGCAACTATGGTCTTAGTAATGAAATTTTTGATGTCAACATTACATGTTAATATCTGAATAAAATTATTTCATAAAAGTGAGTAGAAAGGTAGTACTTCTAATACAGTTTTACTTATTTAAATGGATGGCTTAAATATTATAAAGGTATACTTGCCTGTTGCATCTATAGCTCTAATATTTTTTATTTGGCAAAAATACCGGGTTTTCCTTTAGAGAAAAGTAGAATTCTGTGTAGAACTAAATCTGGACCCCAGAGAATTACAAAGTCTTGGAAAGGAGATGGGATTTGAACCTAGTCTTGAAGAATAATTGGGTAAAAGAGAATAGAACTAAATGTAACAAGGGGTTATTTTTAGGTGCCTTAGATGTATAATCATTTAAATTCTCACAAGTATTATTATTCCCAGTTTTCAGATGGGGAAACCAAGACCCATATAATTTAATTGAATTTAACCAAACTGCCGCAAGCTGCATGGTATGGCTTTCATTTTGAATGCATAGCTTTTCAAACCCAGCACCACTGGCTTCGCCTGTGACAATCCAGTGTACCATGGAGATGAATGGCTTGGAATTCCCCTGGCTCTGCCTCCACCTCCTTTATACTCACTGTCTTTTTCTCAAGTTTTCTTATCAGGGGGATAACTATTTCTCTTCAAAGACCAATTGAGATCATTAAGTGAGCTCCTATAAGTAAAGTGCTTGTTGAAATGTAAGTGCTCAATGGGTGTTGGCCTCTATGAGGTCAAGAAAAGGGGCTGGTAGAAAAAGAAGAGAGGAGAGAGAACTAGGAAAAGGAGAAGGGGATTCCCACTTTCTCAAATGGCCTCTTTCATACCAGAGTGCATTCTGGGTACAAGGCTTGGGAACAGCAAGGGCATAAAATCAGGCAAAGCAACTACATCTGTTCTTTTGCTAAAAAACTAGGAACTGGGGGTGGGAGGAGGTCCCTTTAGAGTATTTCCAGTCTAGAAGGAAATTACTGAGAACTTATGACGTGACAGTAAACAGATTTTCAAATCTTAATTTTTATGTAAAGTCAATTTCCTTGTCTATTTTGTTCCCTGAATTCCTTACTGTGAGGGCTGCTAAATATTTTATTCTCTACCAACAGAGCCTAAATATGTTTAATTTAGCCACTATATAACATCTAACTTCTTTACATTTCAATTAAGCCTGTAGTTATAAAACTGGAAAAGGAATTTCAGCTGATAAGTTGTTGTGTATATGCAGCATAGATACTCATTACTTGGCCAGAGACAGACAACTAATTAACAAAAAAAAAGAGATAGTTTCTTTAGTTTCTTTCCTGAAACATATTGTCCTTCATATATAAAAATTCATCAAATCAGCATACTACTTATAACTAATGCATACAGGCAGTGGGAGAGTACTGTTTTCCTTTTATTCCCTGGAGCTGTTATTAAATCACTGATGTGTAGTACATCTCTTTATTCCCCCTTGGGGGAACACTAAATCCAGGCATTGTATTGTAATTGGTAGCCACTTTATCTTCAAAATATCAAACAGTGATCAATACTTTTGAAACCCTATATAAGTAAATGATATTCAAAGAACTAAGATATTATTGCAAAGAGGCACAGTGTCCCAATGAATTTATAAAAAAAAAAGTACTTAGGGACAAATCAATGCTTCACCTTCTGAGACACTGTGAATGATGTAAGAATTCTTATTTATAGCCTACCTTCTCCAGAGAAGGATGTCAGATGGTTTACAAAGATAAAATGAGAAGCGTGTATGAGAACTTAGGCAAATCCAGGGAAGAACCACATAAAATTTGTTATAAATGCTGAAACCCCTTCCCCCAAAAAAGGACAATTCTTGAAAGTTTGGAATATGTCAAGCTACCTTGACAAATGGGGCTTGCTATCCAGTATTTAGTGCCAAAGGGACTGGAAATTTGGGGTGCCTCTCTAGCACATCACAGTTTCTTCTGAAGCCCCAGGGAAGGACTGTACTTTTTGGTGGGCAGTAATTTAGATGAAGGAATGACATGAAGACTCCCAAGAGCCTGGGCTCCTGGGAAGCCTCCCACACTGTACAGTCACTAATTATCTCATTTTTATAATAAGGTCTGCACTTTCCCTAATTGCTACACTTCTATCAACAGATACAGGGAAAGATAAGTCCATTTCATCTTTTAGGCATCAGAAATTCAGGTACAGTCTGTGGAAAGATGTTTATTTAAAAAAAAACTGAAAATAAGGAGTTGACTTATGAACTTATTTGCAAACAATTGGATTTTATAGACTCAGGTATTCTGTGTCCAAAAGGGTTTTTGAGATCGCCTGTCTTCTTTTGCTTCCTCCTTATCATGTCCGGGAGCCTTATTGAATTCAAAGGGAAAAAAATCCCTCTAGGATCTAACAATCTCAGGTGTCTGGGATTTGTTTATCCCTCCCTGCGAGGGGAAAAAGGAGAGGAAAGATCAATTTCAAAACTCAGTGGTAAGGCTGAGGAAAGATTTCAGCTCCAAATTAACCACCATATCTTTAAAATATGGCTATGTGGGCAAGTTGCCCAGCTCCTCATCAGACTGTCAAGTAGAAATGGGGATATTCATCTCTTCTCCTCAAGAATGACCTGAGGGAGAATCCTGTGATAGTGGGGTCAGCCTGAGCACCACGGTCCTGTCGAACATACTGATTCCCGGGCTCACTGAATGCACATTTACAAGCAGCAGCCTGGGGACATCAGCGCCCCAGATGAGTCTCAAGTCTGAGAAACGCTGAGCCAACAGGGAAAGTACTTAGTAGAGTAGTAACAACCAGTCGTGGCGAGGGCGCGCCCATCCCCACCAGTGCAGCATAGACGGACCAACTGGCTGGCCTAGGCAGGAGAGTATCCTGGGCTGTCCCTGGCGGGAGGGTGGCGATGCCCCCGCACTCTGCGCTCAGGGACCCAGTGTCGCCAGCCCGTCAGGGCCGGGCACTTCCCGACCGAGGTGCGCCAGGTGGCGAGGCTGTCAGGCGCGGCCAAGTCGCAGCCGACTGAGTCAGTCGTCCAACTATGCTGCGGAACCTGGGCGGCCGGCTCGGCCACCCCCGCCGTTGAGCTCGGGCTGCCCTGGCGCGGGGGCGCCGGTTCCCCGCCCCCGAGGCCCGGGAGGAAGCGGCCGAGGCGCGGCGCGAGAGCCACCTGGGCAGGGCGCGGGCGGCGGGCGCGGCGCTTCCGGAGCTGCGCGCGGGTGCGCGGCCCGCGCTCGCTGCGCTCCCCGCCTCCAGGTGCGGCGGCCGCCGTCTGGCAGCTGACGCGGTCGCGGGCAGAGCCGCCCGGGCACCGGGAAGGAGGAGGCCCCGCGCCCCCGGGAGCCAGAGGCGCGCGCCGGGTCCTCCAGCTCCGCCTCGCTGGGCGGCCACGCGCAAGGCGAGTAACCCGGGGCGGGGTGGGCTGGCGGGTGTGCGGGACTCGAGGTGAAGGACGACTTGGATGGGTGGACCGGGGCTTCTCGGGGTGCAGTTCCAGAGCGCAAAGTTCCCGCTCGGGTTTCTGCCCCTTGGATTTCGCTCCCGCGAGTGGGCGTCTAAAAGGAAAGCAGAGCTGGGTAAGTGATAGAGAAACTCTACTTCTGGGAGTTGGCCCCGGAAGGTGACAAGCCACGAACCTATCGGACTCCCCCTCCGTCCCCGCCCCCCATTAAAAGGAGTGTAGCCGAGTTTCAGGAACCAAGTTCTTTTCTCGGTGGAGATAATGACTTTGCTCCGGTCTCTGTGCTCCCCCGCACCCTGCTTGTTACACACTTGAAGACGACAGGCCTGTTAATTAGCTTTAATTACAATCATTTGGCCTCCACCTGCCCGAACCCAGTACTGTACAGTAGGACCTGTCGGGAGTGAGTTGCCAGATTGATCTTTCTCCTTTACTTTGGGAGAATTGGTGTCCATCCTATTTATTAAAGTAAGTCTCGTTTTATTTCATTCTGGCTTGTTTTCTTAAACACTTCTCCACCTCCTTGTGGCAATCGGCAGTTACTTGGGTGATCACTTGTGAAGTTAGATGGCGAACTTATAACCTTTGATAAGTAGAGGAAAAATCCCACAGAACGTTAAGCTACTTTTGTATGGAATAATGACATCTTAGGCTGTTCCTATGGTGATGGCAACTTTTTTTTTTTTGTATTGTCCTTGAAGTAGGCTGCTCCTACTTCATCCTTTGAGTTTTTTTTTAAGCATATTGAAAATAAGCTATTTTTAAAAGTACATTTAATCGAATGTCATTGTTATTACCAATAATAGTATTGTACTTACAAGCTCAGTATTGATTTCGCCGCACTTAAGCACTCTACACCAGCAGGAGTTTATGGCACAGTGCCCATAAGTAATTGAAAGGTGATGTTATGGATGTTTTTAAAAAGAAGCTAACTTTTTTGGAAAAAATACTTTTAAAACTATTATAACTTTCATACACTTACAAGAGAAAGATGGAGGGCAAAGGCCCATGACATTCCACTGTTCAACAATATTTAACAAAGAAAAAAAAGTGGGTCATGGAAGTAGGCTAGAGCCTAAAATGGAAATATCTCTGGCTCCTTTCCATGCAGACACTTAACACTCTCTTAATGTGGGTCCTAACAACAAGAAGGTTTTAGGTAGCCTTATTTGTCCGTACTCAAAGATTTACTTAAATTAAAATGTACCTACAGGGTAAGTCAAATGGCTTGTTAACACTTATTTATGAAGGTGTACATGTGTTTGTATTTTTTCCTTCCTCTGTAAGCCTGTCAGATTTTATATGGGAGTGTGTGACTAGAGAAGCTGATAGTACATTTAGAGACAAATTCCTATTTTTCTAATATCACATCTTGCGGTGAAAGCTCAACTTCAATGAATACTTTTCAGATTCAACTACTCTTAGTTATTGTGGTTAAGTATAGAACTTAGGTTATAATTCGTTGCAGTCTTCTTAAGAATTTTTACATTAGGGTATTGACAATATGAATGTTTAAAAACATGCTCAGACATCATGATATCCAAGAAGGAATTTTTTTCTTTTTGTGTGTTTTGTTGTTTTTAATCCACTTCCTTCCAATCTAAAAAGTTCAGTGAAAGTGATTACAGAATGCTAAGTGCTAAGTGTAAATGACAGTCATTGCTTTAATAGTTTCTGTTAATACATGTTCACCAGTTCCCATTTATTTATTGACTCATTTATAGGGTCCAACCACTGCACATTCAGGATGTAAAGACTTTTGGAATGCTTCATAAAATATTAATTAGACAACTTCCTCTTTTGGCAATGCATATTCTGAACTAGGTAGGGAGTTTTGGAATTCTTCATAAAATATTAGACAACTTCTGGTCTTTTTTTTTTTGACAGTACTGGCGTTTGAACTTAGGGCCTCGTGCTTGCTAGGCAGGCACTCAACCACTTGAACCATGCCACCAGTCTGGGTAGATAATAATGATGGAAGTGTGTCTTGACTTTGACTAAATGTGACAGCTGTGAGAATAGAGTATGAGATGCCATCCTAATCTTCTCTGCCTTGTACTCTATTATTTTAGTTATTTAAAAAAATATTGACCAGATTAAATATATGTCATTAAGTAATTTGGCTTGCTTATATTTTTTCATAATTGTAATAATACTCAGTGGTATTCCTTTCTCATGATTCTGTCTAGAAAGAAATTTGACCTGCAAAATTTTCTTAACACTTTTGACTCAGCAGAAGCTGTTTTCTTTATCCATGCTTGAGTAGGAACCATGAAGGTGTCTGGATCTGAGTGGATGTAGGCATTTTGTTGGGTAGTTTTGGACATAAAAAGTACTTGTGAGAGGTGAGGGGAATTATTTTCCTATCTTATGCCATCTGTGAGGATGGGTAGATGAGGGAATAATTAGGGAGTGGGTGATTATTCCCTCATCTACTGGTTATAATGCATAGCTTTAGGGTGGTGAAGAATGATGTGATCTGTGCAAGAGCACAAGAGAAGTGTGTTCTTTTCTCTGAGGATCACGTGACTCACGCTCCTGGGGGTAGTGATGGTGAGAGGGGTTGTCTAGGTATTTTAACAGTATCTTCAAGTGGGACTCTGCCCTGCTATTCAAGGACCTCCACAGCTGACTGCAGCCTGCCATTCTGGCTTCACCTTTCATGATTGTAAAACCCTAGTTCCATCCCTGCTATTCTGCCTCCTTACTGTTGCCTAGTGTTTATCTTCTCCCTCTGGGCCTCCTTCACGGCTTTAGTTCCACTTTTAGATGGCTGGCATCTCCACTTGTGACATGCCTTCCTATGAGCCTTTGTAGCTCCTATACCAATCACTTCCTTTGCAAAGCTCTGACTTGCAGTGCTTAGCTATATTAGTGAAGTTGATTTTGAGATTTGGAGTTCCAAAGTGCTCTCAAAGGATGATTCTTCTTCTGTGTGTGATTAAAAATAAAACACTACTAAATGTAAACCATATGAATGTCAAGGTTACAAAATTTGATTTTTCACATAATTAGGATTTAAGTGCTTTTTTGGAGACATCATAGTCTTCCAATGCTATTTTGTTTGTGTATTCTTTCTTCACTGGTACTGGGCAGCAAAGGGCCTGTTGTTCATCTGTATGTCATTTTCCTTTGCTTATTGTTGTGTCTAATTTACCCCTTTATTTTAAACCCTTGGAGGGAAGACATTGTATGTTCACTTTCTTTGTAGCCCTTAGCACTGTCCTCAAAGGAGATAATAGATAGTGTTATCTTGAACTGCAAATATTTCCCACTATTATCTTGGAGAGAGTAGTGTTCTTTAAATATTTATTGAATGAATAAATGTAAATAAATGGGCCAATAAGTTAGGAGACATTTGTTCAGGTACTTTCTTTTCTTAAAAACAAGAGACTTTGACAATTACAGAACCAATAGGAAGCTCTCAAATTCAGTTGGAAAGGAGGTCAGGGTGCTATTTATAAATGCAGAGAGGAAATGTTCACAGTGGGCTATTTTGAAACATCTGGTTGTTGGTCTAAAAATGTGACTCAAATTCAAGGAGATGGTAAGTATACATTTACACTAAAATTTTTAAATTGGAATATAATATACATATAAGTGTGTATGCATAGCATACATGTACACTTAAAAAATTTGTATTGAATTATAATATCATTGTAGTTTTCACCTGAGTAAATTAAATATTAAAAGTATGCTCACTTTATCATGAAGTGAAACAGAATCCTGAAGAAATTGTGCCTGCCTTCCCTCAGATCCAGAGTTCTAAAAGCATCTGATTTTCCTCCTTTCAGCTGTCAGGATACAGATGTGGCTAAACTGTAGAGAGAGCAAGCAGAGGGCTAGCTCCCAGGGGAAGCAGGGCCCCAGGCATTAAGGCACACAAGTGAGAATCTTGTCCAGTGACACAGGTTTCAGCTTGTCATTTCTTTCATTATCCCCACATCTGCTCCTGTAGAAACTCTAGAAGATAAAATCTTTCTTTGGTTGCTCAAGAATCATGGCTGTGCTTTAAATATCTATCCATTAGAATTTAAAACAAGTCCCAAACCTCAGATAATTAAAATCTAGATGGGCAGCTCAAAAGAGGAAAGACTAAGGAGATTATCAATCACTTAACTATTTAGATATTATCCAAAACACCTAAAACTAGCATTAGCTTTGCTGGTAATAATTCCTTACCCTAAGTAAAGGAGTTAGCACTCCTGGCCTTTACAGGAGGTATTGAGAGTTGCCTTTTTCAGATTGCACAGTAAGTGAAATAACAAAAACATAGCTTAGAATAATCCTCTGTCCTTGATCCAAGTATGAAGTGATTTTTCAAGAACTTGGTTGTTTAAAGACCAAATCTCACATTATTCTCCATCTAGCAACTACAAATTAAGAATTTATTATTTGCCAAACACTGTTTTAAGATCCTTATGCATATTCACTCATTTCATCCTCAAAGCAGCCTTGTTAGGTAGGCATTATCATCACCTCTGCTTACAGATGACGACAGTGAGATCAGGAGAAGAGGAATTTTCAAGGCAACAGACACTATTTGCAGAGCTAGGATCTTTGGTAGTCACTATGATTTGTGTCCCAGGTCTAAGTCTTCAGGTAGTCATCAATCTCAAAATGCTAACCACATCTTTATTTTACTAGATTAATAAAACCCTACTTACTGCTCTATTAAGTGCTTTGTGGGCTTATTAGAGGATTTATAGTGCTCATTTAAAAGAATGTAACATTACTATGTAGGTTGAAGAATACCACTCAAAGCAAGTTTATTAATATGGTATGAATATGGTTAAGTGCAATATTGTTTATAACAGAAGAATTAATAAAAATAACCAGCACTTATGTCATACTTGCAATTCATGTCAGGTACTGTTATATACTGCTGTACTGTGATATATACCTTACATGTTTAATCCATCAGAAATGCTATAAGATAGGAAGGGTATTATGCTCATTTTACAGATGAGGAATCAACTTCAGGGAAGCTAAGTAAATTAACCAAGTAAAAAGTGAAAAAAGTCCTGGGAGTGGTGGGCAGGGAGTTAAAAATAATATAAATGGGGTGAATTTGATCAAAGTACATTATATGTGTGTTGCAAATATCACAAAGAAACTTCTTTGTATAATTTACATATGCTAATAAAAAAGATAAAACCTGCAAAAAGTGGAAAGTCTGGATTAGAATTGAGGCATTGTGATGTCTATACTGTAGCTTGGGTGGAATTAATGAGGGTAAATGAGGGATGGAATAGGGAGGGAAACCTCTTGGAGTGATGGTAAGATTTGAATTGGCTCTCAAAGGAGAGAAAAGAAAATGGATACGGCACTCATTGTATCTCCCTGTCTCCTTTTTGTTTTGGCAAAAACCATACAATTTGCCATCTTCACTATTTTTAAGTGTAAATTTCAATAGTGTTAAGTGTACTTACATGGTTGTGCAGCAGGTTTCTAGAACTTTTTTATCT